CTCCTCCTCCTCCTCCTCCTCCACTCGGAGTCTCTTGGCGGCGTGACCCGGATGCTCTTCGGGGAAGCAGCGCTTGTCTCCGGTCAGAGCCTCGGTCTGCTCCATCGGCCTGAGCTGTGAATAACTTATCCACACAGTATTCTTACTCTGGCTTATCTATGTATTCGCTATTAGAAATCTAATTCTAGCAGGGATTATAGTATACTTTTACTCACACCGTAGACGACAGCTGCGGGGACTGTGAAGTAATGCTGCGCTTACAGACGGACTGAGGAGGAAACCGCACAGATCTGAAAGTCAACGCGAACAAAATGAATCTATTCTAAAGCACACAAGTCTCAGGACTGTGTGTAGAGCTCCTACTGCGTTCACACGACACGAGCCGCTGCTCAAACCATCCACACGTGTTTGACTCTTCTTCGTCTTCTTCTTCGTCTTCTTCTTCTTCTTCTGGTGTTTTATGGCGGTTTGGCAAACCAGCGAAATAGGTGCATTACCGCCACCTACTGATCTGGATCGTACTCTTCACTAAATTCTATTATATAATCCCGTGTCCTTTAAATAACGCATTCAAAAGTTTTTATCCCCTGATTTATTCCCCAAAATGTTCATCAAATTAAGTTTTTCTTTATTTTCCTTGAGGACATCCATCAGTATCTTTCGTTCCTCTCCGTATCTTGGACACTTCATTATAACATGCTCTACATTTTCCTCCATATTACAGTATTCACATTTTCCAGTTTCATGTCTCCCCATTCTCTTTAAACTGCTATTAAGAGCAGTATGGCCAAATCTAAGCCTTGAGATTATAGTTTCCTCACGTCTGTTTCTTCCTGTTACTCTGTACTTACCAACACTTCTTTGAATGCTATAAAACCATCTCCCTGTTCTTTCTTCTTCCCAATATTTCTGCCATCTATTCTTCACATGTTGCTTGATCACACACTTCATTTCACTCTTACCATACTTTATCTGCACATCTATGTCTGCTTTCTGAGTTGTTTTCTTTGCATATTCGTCTGCTGACTCATTCCCTTGTACTCCCGCATGCGCTGGTACCCAACAGAAAGCTACAGAACTTCCCATCATCTGGATGCTATACACTGTTTGAGGAATCTCAATCATTATATCTGCTCTCTCTCTGAATGACGTGTTTT